CATTCCTGAAGCAGAACAAGCTACAGCCCAGACTCTCTTAAGAGTGTCCATATGTAGAGTCACTGAAGAGTAGATAATACACTATAAATCAAGTTTCCCTTCCTTCAGTAGACAAAACCCAGGGAATTTTATTTCACAGCTCAAATCTGACCCTGAAAAGAGCAGGGACAAACTACGATGGCTTTGCACTGGATGCAGAGGAAAAAGAACCAAAGAGGAAAACACAGGTTAACTGAAAATACCCTGATTTAAAGCTTATCCTTCTCAGAAATAATATACAGATCTTTGTTTCTACATGCATTTTCCAATTTAACAAAGAAGGAAACCGAGAATAAAGGTTTAAAAGCTGGTATGTTATGAAATATTATGTTCACTAGACATTGGGATGAGTTTCTAGGTAATGGTTCAGTTTTACAAAAAGAGCTAAGCATACATTTCTGCTTCAAAATGCATTGAAGAAGAACAGCAATACATTAAAATAATTCAAAATTCAAGAATGGCCAATATACGACTGTCTAAAAATCCCAATACTTTTATTTAGCAATTCATATTCAGAAAGTGCCCATCTTCTCTCACAATACAGTATAGAAAATGCATACATCACAGAGACAAAGAACACACAGAGGAAAATAAACCACACCTCATTAATTCTGAATGTATCTGATAAATACTGATCTATGATTAGTCCAGACCAGGAATGGCTTTTGACCCTGCAATGCTAGAAAAAATGAAGTATATTGTTTGTTTTTATTTGACATTTTTAAAGCTCTGAACGTTCCTATTGACTTTAAATCCTATTGAGAAGTCAATATAAATGTAGCAAGGAAACAAAAACATACACTGATCAAAGCAATCCCAATGGAGATACTAATTGAAATACAGTGATTTAATAAGAATTAGTCATTGCCTGATGAATCCTACAAAAAGAGATAATGGAACCATACTGCAGAAACCATTTTGACTTTTTAGTATTCCAGGACCACCATACTGAAGACATTCAGCTACAACTGCACAGGGGTGTGTAAAAAACCCCTCTTTGCATTGCATGCCCACCTAGCCAAGCTACAGCATGGCTGAATTCACTGCAGCTGTTACTATGGAGCTGAAGACGATCACGGAAGAACTGCATGTGGCAAGAATAAAGTAATGAAGCAAGATAAAACTTAATTTTTCACTTTGTTAGGGAGATTACCTAGCAAATACAGGATAAAAGAAAAATAAATAATAATATTTTGGCATTACTTAAGATAGACATAGAACCAAATAATGTAAAGTCTCTTCCTCTCCCCCGATTTTTGTAGAATATAGATGAAGATATATAACTACTAAATCAAACGTATTGGAATACTTGTGTGTTTCCTCAAACATCCTTGTGCTCTGTGTGTAACTGCAATACTTGGCTTCTAGCAAGTTTTTATGTATCATAAAGCTACGAAAAAAAACAATCCCAAAGTCTTAGTTTGACTTCAATAATTCCGTATTATTGACGAGAGTAATACAGTCAGATCAATCTATTATACGTTCTCAGGAGAACTTGTGACAGATTGATTACTATTAACTGTTACTATCATAACAGTTAATACTCTAGCAAGCTGAAATTCAGTCAGAATCAGAAAGAGACAGGCAAGGACATGAGAGGATAAATACGTCCCAGCCTGCCAGCTGAAGCTGTCACAGGCAAAGAAAATAGGTTTCAGGTCTTTAATGACAGAAGGAACATGGAGCAGCAGTGTGGGAAAAGTACTGCCAGACACAGAAGTGTTGCCAAAGCAAAGCCCAGGGCATCCTTGACACCAAAACCAGCTCTATTGAGACCATTATTGAGGCTTCCTTTTTCTGACTCCTTACCAACACCCAAGAAATTAAAATCATCACTAAATACTAGAAATAAACATTTAGTTTTAAATTTGAAGCTGCAGCTACTGATAAATTTGAATCTTTCTGTTGGTGATCTTAATAAAACTATGGTTTGCAAAGGGCATAAGGGAGAAAAAGGATTTGAGCATTTACTTATAAAGCTTAAAAATTGACTTCTGCTCTAAGATTCTGTAGTTACTGGGACAAGCTTAAGAACAGTTAAACAAAAGTACTCAAGGCTGGAAATTCAGTTCTGTGGTTTTCATTCTATAGCCAGCTTTCAAAGGTCCACAAATCAGTTTGCGATGATTATCATGGTTTGCATATAATATCCCTGTCAGAACAGCAGTATGATTCTGGTTCAGTTTAATGTAAGTGAAGATCTGCAACATATGTAACACCAAAACCAGTTCAACAGCAGAGGACATTTTTTGTGCAAACTGACTGGGATTTTGAGCAGAGGACAGTTTTAGGGAGTGTTAATGCCCGTTTCATAGGGAACAAGAAAGAATGCACACTTATCACAAAGTTAACACACTTACCACTATCCATGATGATTACTGTCAAGGCAGGGAACTTGCAAATATGAAGTCTGTAAACAAAAGAGGAAACATTCTGTTGAGTTTGTGGATTATGATGAACTTGGAAAAGTTTCTCTTGATTCCCAAATATTGTTACAAATACATCAGTGCTGGAAACCCCATGGGCAAGACAAATCCCTCTTGTACCACTACTGCATGCAGACTAACTTCAGTAGTATAGGAATACTACGAAAAAAAGATAACTCTTGTGAAATGGGGAATGCTTTAACATTTTTCCAAGCTCTCCATACTTAGAACATGCAAAAATGCTCATATGAAATAGAAGGTGTGTATCATTTTAAACAAATCTGCAACCTCTGTTTTACCCAACTGAACCTCAAAGGTATTACATTCTCCACTGTAATTACATATACCTTATCTAAGACTTAATTTCACTCTGCAGAGATCTTCAAGTCAGCTCATTATCTTTAGCCTATGGATCAGATTCTTTGAAATCAGAATGAACACATGCAAATTCATTCAGAGTTTGCTACTGATTAAAACAGGATGCCTGCATAAAGTTCAAGGGCAGAACAAGACCTGTGATTCGGCAAAGGAACTTGCAATACAACCCGCCCTACAAGAACTTACATGTCCTTTATACCTCATCTTGGAAGGAGAACAGACGAGAGATGCTCTCAGTCAGGAAAGTACCTGAAGCTCATCGCACCCACCAGGCAGAGAGCCAACAAGAACTGCATATCAAGGCAGCAAAACTAGTTTGAGGGACTATTTTCAGTTTCTTGGAGTCTTTGTTAGTATGGGAAAAGTTAAGAAAATAAAAGCTTTCAGCAAAGTATGAGAAAGGTGCAGCTGTCTAACCAAGTTGGTAGAACACCATGAAGTTAAGGGTTTTTTTACTAATACATTACCTACTCCTAAAGGAGTAGGCATTAGTTCTACTTCAGAAACCAGGTTACACATCAACATATCACACCATACTAAAGTTCCCACTCACCATAAAACCCAAACCTCACAAGTAACCTTGTCTGTAAGAAAGTGATAACTGCACACAAAAGGTGGCCATAGCTGCTGTAATAAAAGAGGGAAAGTTACAACTTCCAGCATGGCTCGTCCAACGCTGTAATTAGTCATGCAAAAGCAGACTGCAGTACTTGCAAGGGCTGCTGCTGAAGTGAATGGAGCTCTATAAAGACATCACAGTCTGCAAACAAAATTGTAGGATCGGGACTATAAAACACATGGGATGGAGGAGTAAACTGATTTTAAGGCAAGTTCATCAAATCTCTGTAAAGGCAAATAAACGTGAATAAACAGCAGAAATTGAAGCACTCTCAAATCCCTCCACCACACTCTTCAGCTTTTCATTACTAAGTATTACATGGTAACAGAAGCAGAGAGCTTAAAATATTCTTCAGAATATATATAACCTCTTAATAGCCTTAATTTTTCTTAGTAGACTACTCTACACAAAGACAAAACCACCTTTGCCACTTGCTTCTGGAACAAAATTAAAAGTAGCGTCATGTTCTGGGTAGTCACATCGTTACAGCCCAAATATTTGTGCTGAAGAAACTGCCAAGCTTTTAATAACAAACAAATAATAATAAACAATAAGGTCACAAAAAAACCTGGTTATTGGTGTAACTCTTCTCCTCATCTAGTACATCATGAGTTTCTTTTGCCATTTATTACCCTCCAGTTTCAGGTGGCTGCTTTTGCAACAGCCCCTCAAATAAGATTCACAGGAACAGCAGAGCAAGACCCATGAGTGCTCACTCACTCTGGTGAGCTGCAGTAATACAGAGCATGAAATACACTTTGCCAGACTTCCCCTCTCTAAGGGAGACGTTTTTCTGCATTAAATTTCAGTTAGTCTTTAATATTTCACCCTTTTAACAAATAACTTGGGTGCGGATTTCAACAATATTAAAAAAAACCAAACCCAAAACCAGACACATCCACATCCATGCTCACTGAGCCACAACTGAAAGGCTCTCCCGACTGGGAACTTCAGTGGAAACAAGGGGACTAACCTGCCTCTCCCCTGCTACAGGATGGGACATTTTCCACCAAGAGCAGAGTGCAACACTGCCTTTGCACCTGACACGAGGTGCTTGGCACAGCGTGATCTTTGGGAATGAACATCAGAATTCTGGCATGGATTGGGAAACTGGGGAAAACATATGGAGGAGGAGAAGAGAAAAAGAACACAAAGGAAAAAACCACTCTATTTCCTTCAGTGGAAACTGATGCAAGTATATTATGAGCTAGTGATAAAATAAAGATTTTCTGAATTGGCAGTAAAAGACAAATTATGTTTCTGTTCATCCTTCCTTCATTACAAAAGGAACCAGAGTGCCTTTCTCTAGGAAACATCACATACAGCTTTCCAGCAACTGGGGTGCAGAAACTTCCCTTCAACAATCTACATTAGATTCTTACAGCAACTACAAGTATTTAGAGCTCCCAGGAACTAATTATGTCAGTTTTCAAAAAAAATCTGTGGCTTTTTTATGCTCCCCTGCCTTCCTGCTCTGCGTCTTCCCAAACTACTTCATTTCCAAGCTCCCACAAAGGATGGCTGGTTTCCTGCTGTGACACCCAAATACCTGCTGGGCAAGAGGCTGGAGGAGGACACAGGCATGGCCCCCCCTGCCGCTACCCAGACATTACACTCGCAGAACAGACTCTCCCACTGCCGAGGAACCGCTTAGGTCTTTGCCCTCTGCTTAACTGCCCCTTCCCCTAAAGGGAAGGAGCTTAACCATATTTTGGTCCTCTCTTTTCTCACAGCCTTGTTTCAAAATAACTAAAGGGTTTTAAAGGTTATTTGGAAGAAGGGATTGAACACAGACAAGTACAAGAATCTTTTTTACCTTCATAAACCAGCTAATAAAACTGAAGAGGGCTGGTAACGCTACAGGAACACCTTGACTTACTACTGACTCATTTATTCTTCTACCCAACTCTTTAGTTTCCTGCTTTTAAGTTTTCATGAACCTTACTGAGGGCTAGGATCATCCTATGGTGTCAGAGCAATGTTTTTCATATATATACACAAATGCAAGAACAAAAAAACCCAACCCCACAGATAGTACCTTACTAGTCATACCAATGCTTATTGTCTCAGGAATCCCTCTACCAACTATCTTCCATATATTATCCCCTCCACACCTTCCCAAGAGGTTATACACCACCTTAGGTTTTCTTGTGGAAAAAGTGACAACAGGGTGGACAGTATGGATAGCACTATAGCCGAGCTGAGTGCCCAATTCTGAGTTCAATAGCAAGCTGACATACCTGACCTACAAATGATCTTTTCGGACTGCTTACTTCTAGTAGAAAATATAATGACTCAGTGGGACACATAAGGAGTTGTAAAGCACATGAAACGGCAAAGGAGACACGCCAACAAGGCCCGTGCTATTTACCAGCAGAACTGTGCTCACCACCAAAGTGCTGCAGCATCATACTGAGGAAAAGCTTTTTGCGTGAAACTTTAAGAAACTAATATTGAAGTAACAAACCAAGCCACACATTTCTTTTCAGGACTAACCTATATTTTTTCCTCCATCCCCAAAGTGTCCAAACCTTATATATATATTATTTATAAGCAGAATACTTATTTTGAAGAATTGAATACTTTTATACACACTTTCCAAGCTGGTAACTATATTCTAGCAGTGCAGCATTTCCCTTAAATTGGGAGGCTAACTAGTTCTGGCATTAAAAGTTGTTGGCTCAAGACAGTATTTCTGCAAGATTTTGTTGCATTTGTTAAAATAGGCATGTTCTGTTAGCAGATACATCTCCTCTGGCTTCACTTTCTGACTACAAGTTTAATGGAAACTTCTGTGCAGCACATACCATTAAAGGACAGAGGACCTGATGGAGGGTACACAAGTCCAAACTGCCTTCACTATTCACACCCACTGTCATGTGTTCTAAGAATACACAACATCGAGAACAAGGCACGTCCTTAGGGAAGGGATTACAAGGAGAAGGGAAAATAAGGATAAGGTAGAGCAGCAGCAGTATTTTCCCTCACTCAGTTTCTCACTTGCTGTGTTAACAGGCACTTTGAGCACCGCAAGGCCAGTACGTTCCTCTTGCAAGTGGGGAGGGACGCGCCTTACAGCACCCAGGGAGGGAAGAGGGAAGTGTCTGTCTTCATTCTGCCATACAACTCTAACAGGGCACACAGCTGTTAATTTTAGTTTTGTAAACCATACAATTAATGAGACTACGGGGACATAATTTACAACTAGATGCCACATCACAGAGCTATGCAAGTTTTTAAAATTTTAAATATTGAGGTTTTTCTGGAGCTTTTTATGAAGACAGGTATGTTCAAGACACACTTCTAGCTAAAACATCAGTAGATGTTCAGTCTGAAAATAACCACCCCTTTTCTAGTCCCCAGCCCAAACCAGGTGCAATGCAACAACTGAAACACTCCTGTAGGAGGTTTATTTAGAAGAAAAATGAAAACATTAAGCAATTACACAGGAAGACAGATTATAATTATGTGACTTCTATTTATTCAAAATGTGTTATGTGCCTACCCAAAAATTCCAGTCCCACCACATTTGGCTTTTACATCGTCAGAAAAAAATATTACAGAAGACTACAATTTTACTTACAACAATCTGTTTCAAAAGAACTTTTTCCCCAGGAAAACTGCACACAAGGATTTACATGGATTCAAACACTGGAGAACTATATTGATTTTTCTCTGAACTGGAAGGCCATAGTTTAAGGATATGGGAGAAGCCTGCACTTATTAAGTTTGGTTGGCTTGCAACAGCAAGGTTAGCCAGGGAAAGGAGGTGGGAATGGAGAGGGATGGAAAACTTTGGAAACTGCTCTATCAAACAAAGCATACAGAAGACTTGTCCTACTTGAGACTACAAGGGACAAGGATAAGAGTGAAATAGAGAACTGAAAAAAACCCCAAAACCCCCAAACCCTCTGCTTTGTAGCTGCTATCCAGACACACCATTTAAAACATTATCATTAATTTTGATTACACAGGGACCCAAAACCAGAGACCAGATCACTAAGAAAAACCTGCACTTAGCGGACTGCCATTACGTTTTAAAACCAATAAATATATCATCACTCACAGAACTAGCACAACGAATACAACTTCAACACCACCCTGTTAACAGAGAGAAGGTGGTCCCTCATGACTACAGCTGGACATGACTTCAGCTGGCTGAGACTGAACTCCAAGCTTCTGCTTCCACTTCTTTAAGTTATGTAGTGTTTTTTCCTGTTTTAAAGCTGCAACAATATTGTGGCTGGTTATTCTCTGGTTACTTCCAAGCTCATCCAGTTCAAAGGGGAAAGTTGCTATAAGCTAAGACATCTCTTCCTTCCCCTCCCCTTCAAAACCAGGTAAGAACAATCTCCTGATACACACATTCTGGTGAGCAGGACATATGGAAGGAGAAGTAACAACACTCTCCCTTTGAGAGGGAGAATTTTGTTGGGTTTCATTGTTTTGAAGGAGTGAACCATATGGGGCAGTTCCTGGGAGGCATAATTGAGCACTTGCATAATTATCTGGTGAAACCAGAATTGCACAAATCCTTAAGAGACTGCCTTTCTGAGTGGCCTACATCACAGCATTTCAGACACCTCAGTCTTCTGCAAGCTGCTGTTAAAAGACATTGCTTTAAATTAGACACTATGACTG